AATTAGGATAACTACTATGGCAGAGGACATCGGACAAGGTTCGCCCAACCACGTTGTCCTAGCAACACGATCAAGTAGTGAAAGGGACTGTGACTAAAGTGGAGGCCATATAATCTTGCTACAACTAAATAAATAAGTATACTAGTTACTAATTTATCGAAATAATAATATTGCTAGCAAGATTATGAGGGGTTTAATAAATTAGATAAGATTATAATATTAATATTAATAATAATAACAATACTTATTAAAAAAGTGTAGTTTGATTTGTAATCTATCATTTGTATTTAGTTGCATATATTTCTCATTCGTTCCCTTTTATTAGTCGATTCATCTACTTGCATCAAGCTACATGTAAAGCTTGGACATTACTCCATTGTCTAGTTGCTTAATTTTGTTACGTCTTTTCAGATGCGGCTTACGTTTTTCAAGGCGACTCGAACTCGCCTGTACCTAATAGGGCAAATACAGTAAATTTGCTTTCTACGAGGACGACAGCGAGCATCCCTCCTGACGACGCTGGCCCCGTACAGTCGCCACGGCAGCCGAGCCAGAATTCGAGTTTATCTTTTCAACAGCAGAACTCACAGCAAGACGGAGGAAGCAGCGTGTCGACCGAAGAGAACACCAGCCTTGGCCAGGCTCAGGTGGAGGCGTCCACGTGGCAGAGTGTCCTACGAAGCCCAGTCGAGGCCCGCAGGCGGAGCAGCATTCCGGGTCGGATCGTTCTGACGCGGAGAAGCGCAAGCGTCGAACGAGGCGGGTCAGGATTGCAGCCGTTTCTGAACGACAAGAGATCCGGCAGTCTTTGTTTCCTGGTCCCCCGCGAAGGCGATGAGGGCGGTGAAGTTGAAAAAGAGGAAGAGGAGGAGGAGGAGGAGGAAGAGGAGAAGATGCTCGGTGGTCTCAGCCAACAGCTGAACGAGATGATCTTCATTCAACGGCTGGCCGAGGAGCCTCCGAGAAAGATGCTCGAGAGAAACGTGATTACGTTGCTGGAGGACGACG